TCTGTCCCTCTATTGTACCCCAATCCCCCCTCTGTCCCTCTATTGTACCCCAAATCCCCCTCTATTGGGGTCTAGTCCACCCACCCTTCTAAAGAATGCATTATTAAAGACTAATGGCAAAATATAAACGGCGTATTTCTGTGTTCAGTCTATGAGAGACTTGCTGCAGCAATCTGACTTATCGAAGCATCGCTAATGATGACAATGGTCATGCAGAGTTTAAAAGGTCAGCGCAGCCAAAAGTGATATTCCAGTTATAGATGGAGTCTGAACCACCTGCTGGCTCCTTATATCTCTCAGGGACTCCGGTGGAGAGATTTCCCCCACACGACGTTCTGCAGAAATCCATAAATGACCTCCCCGTGGGGTCACCCTCTGTGCCGTCCTTTGCGTCTATTCTTCTGGGTTCCTGAACGCACAGGAAGCAGCTGGGTGCCGGGCGCTGTGCGGCGCCCTCGCTGTCAGGTCAGGCCATGTGGACGCTGATTAGAGCTTGCTCATTTTTCCAGCAGATGCAAACACTAATATCTTCCTTCCTTCTCTGGGAATGCGTCACACTCTCCTCCAACACCATTGCATCAAACTTGCAGGTCTTGTTATCATCTTATTCGTTTTAAAGTAAAAGTAAATAAAAAAATAACTACATTTTAATTAAAAAAAGCAGCTTTTGGTGCAATACATACCTCCTGTCCGGTGCTGCCCCCTTCCCCTCCCCTACTCTATGATCCAATGCCCACTTCCTGTGTAACCTACAAATCTACATCTTCCTCTCCTCTTCCTCTTTCTGTAGGGGTCCCCCAAGGCTCAGTCCTTGGACCCCTTCTCTTCTCCATCTACACCTCCTCTCTTGGTCAGTTAATAACCTCACATGGCTTCCAATACCATCTCTATGCTGATGACACTCAAATCTATCTCTCTACTCCACAACTCTCCCCCTCTGTGTCCTCTCGTTGCACTAATCTACTAACTGACATATCCGTCTGGATGTCACAACATTTCTTAAAGCTCAATCTTTCAAAAACTGAGCTCATGATAGTTCCTCCCCCCGTGCACCTTCCCCCAACATTTCAGTTGTGATTGATAACACAACTATCCAGCCCTCCCCTCATGCCAAGGTCCTTCTGAGATCATTCAGTCAGACTCGGCGAAACCTGAACATCAGACGAGAGCAACCCATCCAAAATAATGTATCTGGCTTTCAAGCGACAGGCGATTGGCTGCTTTGGGTTGCTGCACAATGCTCATCCCCGGTAATTATTCAACAACTCCCGAGACAACATTTCCCAAAACACAAACGAGATTATCTCGAATGGATTCCATTATTGTTGAATAATTCTGCCTGCCGCTGTTTGAGTTGTCTTCATTAGTTAGCGTGAGAGGTAACATTGTATTGGGTTAGGAAGATTCATGTGCCTTGGCCAATCACTGACAATGTTATTCCAGTGGTGTGGATTGATGGGAGAGGATAAATACTGGGAGCAACCTTCTGCCAATCCCTCCACTGGCTTCCAATCGCCCACCCCCTCTGCCAATCCCTCCACTGGTTTCCATCCTCCACCCCCCTGCCAATCCCTCCATTGGCTTCCAATAGCCCAAAGGATAAAATTCAAAATATTAGCAACCACTTACAAAGCCATCCACAACTCTGTCCCGGATATACTGTATCTCCAACCTTGTCTCAAAGTATCACCCTAACTGTCCCCTACGCTCCTCCCAAGACCTCCTGCTTTCCAGCTCCCTTGACAACTCCACCCATGCTCGCCTCCAGGACTTCTCTAGAGTCTCCCCCATTCTTGTAAACTCTTTACCCCAACCTGTCCATCTGTCTCCCCCTCTGACTGCCTTTAGTCGATCCCTTGAGACTCATCTCTTCAGACAAGCCTATCCCACCTCAACCTAACCACTGAACTATCCCTTTCTCAAACAATTCATCCCCACACAGCTACCTCCTCATGTATCACTTGCCCCTCCCTCTTAGATTGTAAGCCCTCAGGGGCGGGGCCCTCCTTACCATCTTGTCTTGAATTGTATTGTGATTGTAATGTCTTCCTTACATTGTAAAGCGCTGCGCAAACTGTTGGCGCTATATAAATCCTATATAATAAATCTTAATAATAACCCAAGCTGTCAAGGACCTTCCCCCTCTGGGGGTACACCATCAGGCCCTGGGCTCACAAGATGGCACCACACTATTACATGACCCCATTCTCTGCAGCATTCTTGCCGTGGTCATGTGACACCACAAAGAGAACCGGTGTCACATGAAAAAAAAAATAATGACAGCCTGGGGAGGGTACAGTCTCATTGTCACAGGTCGGCTAGAACTATGAGGTGAGTGAAAAGCACTCACCTCATAGTTCTCCTTTAAGGAAAGGGGAGCAAAAATCCGGAGTTGAGCTTTGCCTGCAATACAGTAAATAATAAGTATGGTCCATTCTTCCGTAGGCGAGGAACAGGCTTGCTGAGAAGTATAAATATTAGATCACACAGGCACAAAGATAAGAAAGCGAAGCGCTGACTCGGCGGATCCTGCGGCGGGTTCGGCCAGGACTCCTTAATTTGAATTTAATGCGATTATTTAGCATCATAAAAGTGTAACAAGCCTTTCATCCCGCGTAATGCCAGAGAGGATGTTTGGAGGCATCTGGAGAAGCGCGCCTGGTTTACGCCGCTTGTTTGGCGTCCCTTTCGCCCCCGACTGAAATAGCAAAAAGTTGCGGATGTGCGCCCCGGGTACCATTTCTCCGAGCGCACACTGCTAATGGAGCAAATATAGATTTCTCCAGGCAAACGTAAAATTGGAAAAAGCTCAATTCAGTGTTTAGACGTTACTCGAAAATATTACCGTTGTGTTTAATTACGAATAATCTTTGTGATATTCCATCGCCTACTGCACTGCATGAAACCAATACAAAGCAGACACATGCAGCGGGTGACACAGACTTCAGTCAGCGTTGAAAAGAGAAGGATTTGTTGTCGGCAGAATTCATTTAAGACAAAATAAACATGATGACAAAAAGGCTCAAATTGCCTCCTGATTATAACACCTTACCACCTCTATTCTGGACAGCTCGCTTAGTTCTGTTATGTTCTGTGAATACAGCTAGCTTCCTTCAGTTATGTTCTCTGAATACGGCGAGCTTCGTTCTGTTATGTTCTCTGCATACAGCTAGCTTCCTTCTGTTATGTTCTTTCAATACAGCTCGCTTCGCTCTGTTATGTTCTCTGAATACAGCTCGCTTAGTTCTGTTATGTTCTCTGAATACAGCTCGCTTAGTTCTGTTATGTTCTCTGAATACAGGTCGCTTAGTTCTGTTATGTTCTCTGAATACAGCTTGCTTCCTTCTGTTATGTTCTCTGAATACAGCTCGCTTGGTTCTGTTATGTTCTCTGAATACAGCTCGCTTAGTTCTGTTATGTTCTCTGAATACAGGTCGCTTAGTTCTGTTATGTTCTCTGTATACAGCTCGCTTCCTTCTGTTATGTTCTCTGAATACAGCTAGCTAAGTTCTGTTATGTTCTCTGTATACAGCTCGCTTCATTCTGTTATGTTCTCTGCATACAGCTAGCTTAGTTCTGTTATGTTCTCTGTATACAGCTCGCTTCCTTCTGTTATGTTCTCTGAATACAGCTCGCTTAGTTCTGTTATGCTCTCTAAATACAGCTTGCTTCCTTCTGTTATGTTCTCTGAATACAGCTCGCTTAGTTCTGTTATGTTCTCTGCATACAGCTAGCTTAGTTCTGTTATGTTCTCTGTATACAGCTCGCTTTGTTCTGTTATGTTCTCTGAATACAGCTAGCTTCCTTCAGTTATGTTCTCTGAATACAGCTCCCTTTGTTCTGTTATGTTCTCTGAATACAGCTCACTTCATTCTGTTATGTTCTCTGAATACAGCTCGCTTCATTCTGTTATGTTCTCTGAATACAGCTAGCTTTGTTCTGTTATGTTCTCTGAATACAGCTCACTTCATTCTGTTATGTTCTCTGAATACAGCTCGCTTCATTCTGTTATGTTCTCTGAATACGGCTAGCTTAAATCTGTTATGTTCTCTGAATACGGCTAGCTTCCTTCTGTTATGTTCTCTGAATACAGCTAGCTTCCTTCTGTTATGTTCTCTGAATACAGCTCGCTTAGTTCTGTTATGTTCTCTGCATACAGCTCACTTAGTTCTGTTATGTTCTCTGCATACAGCTCACTTCGTTCTGTTATGTTCTCTGAATACAGCTAGCTTCCTTCTGTTATGTTCTCTGAATACAGCTCGCTTAGTTCTGTTATGTTCTCTGCATACAGCTCACTTAGTTCTGTTATGTTCTCTGCATACAGCTCACTTCGTTCTGTTATGTTCTCTGAATACAGCTAGCTTAGTTCTGTTATGTTCTCTGAATACAGCTCGCTTCCTTCTGTTGCGTTCTCTGAATACAGCTAGCTTCCTTCTGTTATGTTCTCTGAATACAGCTTGCTTAGTTCTGTTATGTTTTCTGAATACAGCTAGCTTCCTTCTGTTATGTCCTCTGAATACGGCGAGCTTCGTTCTGTTATGTTCTCTGCATGCAGCTAGCTTAGTTCTGTTATGTTCTCTGAATACAGCTCGCTGCGCTCTGTTATGTTCTCTGAATACAGCTAGCTTTCTTCTGTTATGTTCTCTGAATACGGCGAGCTTCGTTCTGTTATGTTCTCTGCATGCAGCTAGCTTAGTTCTGTTATGTTCTCTGAATACAGCTTGCTTAGTTCTGTTATGTTTTCTGAATACAGCTAGCTTCCTTCTGTTATGTTCTCTAAATACGGCGAGCTTCGTTCTGTTATGTTCTCTGCATGCAGCTAGCTTAGTTCTGTTATGTTCTCTGAATACAGCTCGCTGCGCTCTGTTATGTTCTCTGAATACAGCTAGCTTTCTTCTGTTATGTTCTCTGAATACGGCGAGCTTCGTTCTGTTATGTTCTCTGCATGCAGCTAGCTTAGTTCTGTTATGTTCTCTGAATACAGCTCGCTGCGCTCTGTTATGGTCTCTGAATACAGCTTGCTTCCTTCTGTTATGTTCTCTGAATACAGCTCGCTTTGTTCTGTTATGTTCTCTGAATACAGCTCGCTTAGTTCTGTTATATTCTCTGAATACAGCTTGCTTCCTTCTGTTATGTTCTCTGAATACAGCTCACTTCATTCTGTTATGTTCTCTGAATACAGCTAGCTTAGTTCTGTTATGTTCTCTGAATACAGCTCACTTCATTCTGTTATGTTCTCTGAATACGGCTAGCTTCAATCTGTTATGTTCTCTGAATACGGCTAGCTTCCTTCTGTTATGTTCTCTGAATACAGCTAGCTTCCTTCTGTTATGTTCTCTGAATACAGCTAGCTTAGTTCTGCTATGTTCTCTGAATACAGCTAGCTTCCTTCTGTTATGTTCTCTGAATACAGCTCGCTTCGCTCTGTTGCGTTCTCTGAATACAGCTAGCTTCCTTCTGTTATGTTCTCTGAATACAGCTCGCTTAGTTCTGTTATGTTTTCTAAATACAGCTCGCTTCCTTCTGTTATGTTCTCTGAATACAGCTCGCTTAGTTCTGTTACGTTCTCTGAATACAGGTCGCTTCAATCTGTTATGTTCTCTGCATACAGCTCGCTTCCTTCTGTTATGTTCTCTGAATACAGCTCGCTTCGCTCTGTTGTGTTCTCTGAATACAGCTAGCTTAGTTCTGTTATGTTCTCTGCATACAGCTCACTTCCTTCTCTTATGTTCTCTGAATACAGCTCGCTTAGTTCTGTTATGTTCTCTGAATACAGCTCGCTTAGTTCTGTTATGTTCTCTGCATACAGCTCACTTCCTTCTCTTATGTTCTCTGAATACAGCTCGCTTAGTTCTGTTATGTTCTCTGAATACAGCTCGCTTAGTTCTGTTATGTTCTCTGCATACAGCTCGCTTCCATCAGGTCCTGCTCTTTATGCACTCACCTCCTGTTGTAATGATCCAGACCTCTTCTACCTACCCCTCAGCCCAGCCCTTCCCACGTGATAGAGGTGATTGGCCCAGTGCCATCACATGACCCTACAGCCTAGAAGTATTGGATATTTTGTTCGTCTCCCACCAGGGAAGGGAAGTATATACTGCCGGGGAGGGGGAAATCACATTTCCTGCATTTTCATAAATGAGCAAAGCACGGGTTTGCTTTAAGAGAGATATGTGTGCAGCCCACAGAGTTCAGGCACAAGTCAGCAGACAGAGCAGTAACACAGTGAAATAAATGGACTCCAATGTACAGATCTGCGGCGTCCATTATAACACCTTGAGAGTAGAATTGTCTCGTATGACCGGAGCCCCCCTTTAAATAGCATGCATGTTATGGTAGTTGAATGTGATCACGCGGAGTGACACCTCCCCCTCCCCATTATCGGAGCTTCAGGATAACGATCCCATTCAGGGTAATTTTCCCTTCATTATGTGGCTCCTACAGACCAATCAGCTTATGCGCAGACTACTCGTGCGATGTGCAGCCGTGAATGTGCATGCCATTACTGGGTAACCCTTCCCGCCCTGTGACTGGGGAAAGCAGCAGAACTGTTCCCATCATCATCAAATTGTTCCACTGGTCTGGAACCAAACAGGACCCCCCCCCCCCCCCGGGGGGGGGGCACTTCACTGGCCGCGTGCTTGTTCCAAGACAGGGATGAGGATGAGAGTGACAGACCTGGAAAACTGCCGTGGCCTGTCTACCAACAATCATTGCAGAGGCCCCTTGTACATCAAGGTCATCCTCCGTACTCCAGCAGTTCTGGTCCTGGGAA